AATATATAAGTCTCTTCTGATCTTGTTTAATGTTACTAGCAATAATAATTACAAAGTTTATTTTATATAGTGCCTTTAAAGGTGGCTTCTCAAAGCGCTTTACAGAATGACAACAACAATAAATAAAAAGAATACACCAGATAAAACACAATTACAATACACAGAGGAGACCGTGGATGGTGGTACTAAGAAAAGTAGAAGCAGAGGGGTGAAGAATGGAACCAGTAAAGTACTAGGGCTGCACGAAACAGCGAAAAAGCTCCAGCTTCCAAACTAACTGGACTCCTCTCTGACAAGAATAGTCTCACCAGCCTGCGGATAATGGAGGATCAATTCTCTCGGGGATCTGTGAGCTACTTTGCAAATTGCTGTTGAATTTGAATTGGGAGTCAAAACAGCGAGCGCCCTGAAAAAAAAAAAGCTGCACTTCCTGAAAAGGGAGGAAATGACAAACTCCCAAGGAAGCCAAGGAAAACAGATTGCTAAGCAGCAGCAGCATCTGGTTACACAATCCACCGCTTCCCTTTAGAGCTGGGATGGTCCTTCCAGAGGGCAATAAGGAACACGGGTGACCTGGTATAGTCGAATACCAAAGAAGTTTCACAAAAATAAGAGACTAGTTTGTACCGTGATTAGCCTACCGCACGGACTTCTGATTAAGTGCTCAGCCATCTGACTTCAGAATTACTCAATTCTAAATAAGATTTTGTGCTAAACAAGTACAGTGGATTTTTCTGTCAGTGCTGTATTGCCCAAATATTATTCCTTTCAAGTTTCTGTGAGGGCATAAAATTTTATTTTACAGCAAAATGGCTACTCGTGGTATCTGGTAAAGCGCTTTGAGTGGAATGTCCAGAAAAGCGCTATATAAGTGTAAGCAATTATTAATTATAATTATAAGTAACTTAACATTCAAATTCAATTCAAATAGAGTACAATACACATGGTCCCTGATGAAGAGCTTACATCAGTCATCTGTCAGCCTGTATTACTACAGTATAGTGGTCAACATTATCTTATTTTTCTATTATAGGTATGAACCAATTATTATGTATTTATCTGCACCATAGTGGTTAAGCATTTTCTTGTTCTCAACAAGTGAATGCAAAAACATTAAAAACAGCAACCAAATGGTCCGACTTTTTACTTGGAGATTTTCTCAGTAACAATAAATAGATTACATTTCAAGAAGGACTGAGCTTCTAAGCTGGACGAAACTCAGTTTCAAGTTCTTAAAGATGTTATCCGAGAGTAAATAACCCTTTAAAGTGCTTCATCCAGTCCACGTAAGCACACTACAATTCAGACTCACAATGCTGTTTTTAAAAACCGATAAGACACAGAACAATGGAAACTGACTGAAAATAAACGCTCCTCAGGAATAAAGCCTGTCGTTCAAAAACAGGATGAATTTAGCAGCCAACTGCCCATTGTCCAGTTGTGAAGAGGCCAGCTGAAAATCTGATGAGAGCTTTTGGTTCAAAGCTTCCTTTTTCTGCTGGCTTTCAAACAATGGGCTATACAAGGTACACTCCAGTGTCAAGTCAGCCTGAAGCCAACTCAACACTGTAAACACTTCTGGCTCATGTATTGGCACAGCAATAACATTGAGGTTCGGATGTTTCTCTCCCAAAATCAAAAGGAAAAAGACGTCTCTAAATACCAGTAGCACATATTCCTGGCCAATCATTTGGGAAATATATAACTTTACATCAAAAGTCTGGATTTAGCTGTAAACAGGCCTTTCCCAGACACTTAAGAACATTCACAAGTTTACACATTGGTTAGACCATTCCTTTCAAGACCCAAGCACAAAGCATGTGAAGACAAAACCCACAAAACAAATCCACAGCTGGATTCACCATTGACGTACAATGTGACTGAGCTTGAACCTGGCTTTATGAACTAGACCAAAGGTGTTCCCACTCCACATCAACTTTGGTTCTTCTTCCACTCCTGCTCCATCTACCTTCACACACTTGGCTATAGAGGTCAGCCTACTAACCTTAGGGAGGACAGTGCTTACATCTTGATGTAATTATTGTTTCTCTGGAATCAGCCATTCTAGGACATAAAGTAACGACCCTGAGGGGACTGAACATCCTCAAAGATCCTGATGAAGTCAACGCAGTGGACTTCTTCAACATGAACAGTGAAACATGAACCCTGAACCACAGGACACACATGTAAACAACCAAGAACAGGAGGAATTCCTTACCCCTGGGGGAGTGGAACAAGCTACCCAGCCATGTGATTGAAAAAGATACTTGGGTTTCCCTCAAGGCTGGATGAGATCATAGGATCAATAAGCTACTAATGAGTAAACAGGGCAGATGGGACAAATGGCCTCCTCTCTTTAGCAACCATTCTTTTGTTCTTACGTTCTTAATAAAGGCACACCCCTCCCTTTTTGAGATACTGGTGTCAAAGGACAGAGTCTGGAACTCTAAGAGAGTAAAATAAACTTTGTGTACAAACCACAGTCCAAAATGACAGCGGTTTAGATAATACACTGTAGATAATAATAATAATAATTGCTTACACTTATAGAGCGCTTTTCTGGACACTTCACTCAAAGCACTTTACAGGTAATGGGGATCCCCTCCACCACCACCATTGTGCAGCATCCACCTGGATGATGCGACGGCACCCATAGTGCACCAGAACGTTCACCACACATCAGCTATCAGTGGGGAGGAGAGCAGAGTAATGTAGCTAATTCATAGATTTGGATTATTAGGAGGCCATGATTGGTCAGGGCCAATGGGAAATTTGGCCAGGACGCCGGGGTTACACCCCTACTCTTTTCGAGAAGCGCCCTGGGATTTTTAATGACCACAGAGAGTCAGGACCTCTGTTTTACATCTCATCCGAAGGACGGTGCCTGTTTACAGTATAGTGTCCCCATCACTATACTGGGGCATTAGAACCCACATGGACCGCAGGGTGAGCGCCCCCTTCTGGCCCCACCAACACCTCTTCCAGCAGCAACCTTAATTTTTCCCAGGAGGTCTCCCATCCAGGTGCTGACCAGGCTCACTTCTGCTGAGCTACAGTGGGCTGCCAGTTGTGAGTTGCAGGGTGATACGGCTGCTGGCTAGATGGCCAGCCCCCCCGCAAGTGTTGTTGGGGTATCGGCTGCCTACTTCAGTGCACAGCACCAGGTGCTCCTAAGCCAACTTTCTTTTCTGTCCTCTTAACAAGAGGTGGCTCTGCGGCTCAGGATCTGCACCTGTGGCTGAAAGGTTGCCGGTTCGTATCCTGCGGTCGGCAGAGGAATCCTACTCCAGTGGGCCCCTGAGCAAGGCCCTTAACCCCAACTGCTCCAGGGGCGCCGTACAATGGCTGACCCTGCGCTCTGACCCCAGGCTCTCTCCCTATCTGTGTGTCTCATGGAGAGCAAGCTGGGGTATGCAAAAAGACAAATTACTAATACAAGAAATTGTATATGGCCAATAAAGTGATCTTATCTTATCCCTGAAATCATCTTCAAACACAGTGCCCATGAAATGACATCAGTTCACATCCATCGTATGCCTTAGGCCCAGTCAATGCTCATCTGAAGGAGCACGGACACAGACTTGAGGCCCCTGCCAAATAAATCTGTATTTCTCTCGTTCAAATTATCTTTCAAAGTGGTTAAAAGAAATTAAAATGGAAGCGGCGATCACAAACTGACATGGTGAAGCTGAACAAAAACAGTTTATTAAAGCATTTCACTGAATCATCTAGATACCCTCCACCTGTTAAGGAAGAAAGGGAATATTTCTGCTTGAACGTCTTACTCAAAATAAGTCTTTTGTTTGGCAGTCTGCACTGTAAAATACTAGCAGAACTCTTCTACATCAACTGGCCTCTTTCATACAGGATATCAGTGATCCATTCCTGTAGAACGAGCTCTTACAATTTCAATAAGTTAACATTTCATTAATAAATATTATAAATAATTAATGGGGATTCCATTTTTAAACTAGGGCTCAAAGGTCTAGTAATTAATCAAACGTGCTGTTAACTACAGATTAACATTTAGGAAGGATTGAGTGCATTCTCACAATCACACGAAAAAGCACGCTAAACAAGTTTTTTATTATTCAGTTGTTTCACACCAATAGATAAATGCAACAATAAAGAACTTGGGCTGAGTAATAATTCTCTGGCTCAGGAATATGTCATACAACATTAGGCTAAATTAACACTCCTACAGTTGTACTGCGTCTGCATTGGTGCACCTTGCAAATTTTGTTATTTACTTTCAAGAGTAAGTGACGCACTACAAATGTCACATTACAGTAACAAAATATAACAACAAACAACAGACGACGGTAAAGAAAAAAAAAAAGATTTCCCAAGTTTCGTGTTTTTAAATGGGCAGGACAGGTTTTCCAGACAGGCCAGCCGCACGAAGCGCGTCTGCAGACCCGCACTGTTGCGTCCGGCACGACGGGAAAATTAAAACGTAAAAACTACGTTTTCTCTTAGAAAGATCCCGCAGACGTCTGAGCCCGTTGAGTTTTCTTCACTCCTACAAAGGCACGTATCTGCGCCCTTTCACTGCATTCTTGTGTGAACTGCTGTGGTTAGGGCCTACTTTGTTGTGGAAAACCTGGGTCTCCCTGCAAGACATTTTCAGAGACACCAAGGCAACACAGTTCCCACCACACACGCAACGCGCAATCAACACACGGCGCACCACCGCCGATCTGTAATGGGCCACCTAAAGTAGAACTAAACTACATATACCAATGATACTAAACCAATCCATAGTATACTTCGTCCAAGTTCTTTTTGCGGGGGCAAATACCTTCTATGACTGTAAAACTAAGCGCTCATTTGTGCAGTATCACCTCCGGTTGAATTCCATTTTGATATATTACATCAACAACACCATTTTGTCTCCTGTCAAAAACCACTTCGCCAAAGACGCACGCTGATCGCCATGTATGCATATGTATGTTACGCTTCGGGCTTGCCCCGTCCATATAAAAGAAATGTACATTTACCTTATACACATCTCCGTATGTACCGCTGCCTATCCTTTGAATCAGCTCGAAATCCTCTTGCGGATTCCGCCTGGACAGGTCGAAACTGGAATTCATAATTTGAACTCCGGTTTCTCTCGCCGATCTCTGAGGTTCGTGGGACGCCCGGTTTCACAGGTGAGAAGAAACAAATAAACAAACATGAACGGCTTCAGGGGGGGAAAAAAATCTCAGCCCGAATTCACTGTAAGTTTAACATGGCTTCCACTGCGCAATACGCGTGCGCACGGCTCCAGTTTACATTCTCCAAAGGCACAGGACTCGGAAGACTTGGGAGAGGGTGGTGTGCAGGCAGGCAGGCACTGGTAAACAAAAACGGTCCTGAATCGCCAGGAATTGCTCTACTCCAGCTGTGGGGGAAATCGCTCCGGAGTCGGTCCCATTCGCTCACACAATCTGCGCATGAACCATTTTCTGGTCCCTTTGACTGAGGCAGGAGGGGGGTGATGCTCTCCGCGGCGTCAACACGAGAAAAGCCAGATCCCATCGCCAAACCAGAATGTTTGCATTTTCATCGCGTTAGCTGGATGCAGCCCAGTCAATCCTCAGGCTACCCAGCTCTCCGGACACTTGCTTTGCCCGAGTTCACCGTGTGACAGCGAACAGAACGAAAGGATGTCGGCACAGAGGAGGTTTAAAATCCACCTTCGGTAATTAGACTGTTTGGGGGGGGAAACATGGATTTCGCGTCTATGGATGCGCTTGAATCTTGTTGCTCCAGATTCCGAAGTATGAGTCATGCGGTTACTGACCCAATCCGTCACAACAAGCGTGCAAAGACCAACTAGGGGAAAACAACAAAAGTTTCCATTCTGCTGTGATACGACAGCTTTATGTAGGCTAGGCGAAGCCTGTGATTCTATAGGCGAGGCAGCTAATTGTCCTCATAGATGAACATAAAGACATTGCCTTTCGTGTCTTACAAAATACTTTGTAGGGAGTTGACGCCAGACCCGATTAAAACCATGTAAATGAATTATGAAACTCTGATAAAACTGTTTGGAAGCATCGATCGGCGCGCTGTTTCTCCGAGAGTATGAGTCCCCCCCCCAAGGATATGTTTTTATTATTAATCTGTTAATTATTTTGGCTAAAGACTTTGTCCACAAAAGGAAATGGTCTAATACTGCTCCCTCTATTCATGCCTTTAAAGTTGAATTCCTTTTTTATTTAAATTTTATTAGAAATGTAAGGAATCAAAAGGCAAGACCCACAATGGAAATATGTCAAAAGTCTCATTTTTAGTTTCTACAGTTGTGAACTCCTCTGGGTGTGCAGTGTATGTTTCTGTATCTATTTCAATATTCTGCCTCCTATTTTGTATTTCTGGTGTTTAAATAAAAACTTATTTTAAAAAAAAGGATGACGTCCCCCCCATCATGTGAGCCTGGGTCTGGGCACTCCTCCCGGGCGAGAAGACAGTAACGCCATTGATTTCCTGATCAGAGAAGACGGCGCTGCTGTGATACCGCATCAGCGTACTGGGATTGTTCAGAAAACAACCGAATGCACAGCCGTCCTTCAATTGTCGCTTAACAACGTATTTGCCAGACACAGAGATAAGGGGTTAATGAGGGTACTGGAAAATAATATGGGCGAAAACAGTTTTTCTCAATCCTTATGTAAAAGTGAGAATGCTCTTTTATTTTAATTTTATATAATACTGCCGGTCTCTGGCTGTTCTATCGAGTTGTATTCTTCCTAATGAAGTTTATGTTGCTGCAAGGAGATAGTTGCTCAGAAAACAGTAAATGGAATCAAAATTCACTGATTTCATAATGTTTACTGTGTAGGGACTCAATACATATTTTTCAAATAAAGGATTTAATTAGTGCCGAGAACGCTGAGTTATCCAAACCACATAGAAATAAACCATGTTTCTAAAATGCATCTGCAAACAGTTCGGTACTGTTCTTTAACAGGAAATGAAAACATTTCTAAATGTGTCCAAATTTCTTTCCTTTATGCACAAGGAAAAAATATTTTTCCCCCCAATATTGTGAGGGGAATAATATAACAGTTCTGACAGCTTTACCTTAAAAAAGAGGAGAAAATGGTTCTTTAATGTCTCCAAGGCGTGCTGTTAACCTCGAAGCAGCCAGTGACAACTTAAAAGTAAGTGAAGGACCTGATTTCCTGTGGCCCTGAAGCAGTGTCAAGACCCCTTAGCACAGCCCTAGCAGAGCAGTTAACAAGAAATTTTGAAGACATAAGCAAAATGGGAATCTCTCCTCGCAGGCAGCTGTGTGAGTCTCTGAGGGCCACATGCAGTCTGTGGAGACCCTTTTCAATAACTGTTGGCTGCCCTTCTCTCTTTTGTTAGCACCTTTTTGAAAAACTGACCAGGTTTGTAAAATACCAGTCAGCCCTGTCTCACATTGCATGTACTGTACATGAATGCAGAAATATAAATAGACCACAACAAAAGCTGGACCACTAAATGAGTGTAAGCCCATCAATACTGTATATCTTTTTTTAAAAAAGGTCCATCTAATCTAAATCATATGGATCCACAAGCAGAACTAAGTCAAATCCAGATCCTCAATGTATCGTTTCCTTTGTGCAATAGTCTGGACGATAACCATCCTATTTCAATTGACTTATTTTCTTGTCAGTTTCCAAATTAATATTGGAAAAGACCTGGGTAGTATTGCATTCGGACTCTTATAAGCTGCATTATAGCGAGGGTGAGGAAACAGGTAGGTTTAAGTTTCATACTTTCAAGTGCTGTGTGTTGGCTTGGCATTAAACAGGACGTTCTGTGAGCAGATGAACAGGAAGTCTGCCTCAGACAAACCAACAGGCCGTGGAAGATGAGGTCAGCGGTGTTAGAGGGAGGGGTGTCACATACTGCCAGGGACGGACAGCCAGTGTGGGTCAAGGAGAACTCTCCTGGGGGGCAGCAAGGTAAGGAAAGCCGGGCAAATCCAAGCAGAGCAACCTCGGTTCAGAGCCATAGGAAGGTGGCTCAGTAAGACAAGGTCAGTCTGCAGCCTCCCACATGGCGAAGTGAAATTCCAACCAGCAGCTACAGTGTGCTCCCTGTTCACGTTTGTTTGGTGCAGGGGGAGTTCAGTCCCAGCTTCTCCCTGTTGCCGTTGGAAGATAAGTTTGAAAATCGGATATTTTGATATTTGTTTTCCAGGGGGTAAAGATGCTGTAGAACAGCTCTTTATGCAGGGGTTTCCGGTTTCCTAAGGACCATTTCCGTTCCTTTCATGCACATAGAAACACCTGTAAGTCAATATCTAGCTTTAAGTTCAGTCTCCCTTCGGGGAAATTGAGTATTTGTCTCAGAAGAATGTTTTTATTGTGAAGGCTAACATGAACACCTCAAAGTGAAAAGCGGGTCATTCAGGAATTTACAAAAACTAGATGCTTACTTTTTGTAAAAGAATGCAGTTTGCCAAACTGATGTTTCAAAGTGCTTTTCAGATTTTTTTTCAGACGTATGTAACTGCATAGCTTCCTCACCTAACTAAAATGCTTTAGTCATCATCTTTTACATTTGCTGTGAAGGGTAAAGAGTTTCGCCTGAGCAATTACCTTGTGCTTCACCTAGGCCAGATGCAGCCGGCTTCAGTAATCACAGCCTGTAACCCTTGTCTGTATAAACTGCATTTGTGTCACCTAAATTCTCCGCTGAGCTGCTCCTTTATTGATCCACGATGTGCAAGACCACTGAACACCCAATGGTTGTCAACAAGTGACAGCCAATATTTTTAAAATCTACTGGAAGTATTTTCATTTGGAGTATAATGTGATTTTGTCCTGAGCTTCAATACTGTTCTGGTGGCTTTTGTTTTTAGGGGAGTCAGGTTGTTTCAGCAATTAAACTTTCATTCTGGAACAGAACAAGAAAAACAGAAAATAATCAAGATCTCTTGGCTGCATCCAGGTTGCTTCATACTGGGAAGGAAGTAGGTTTTAACTGCTTCTTTTTACTACATCTGACTAATTTAAATCAGGACATTGAAAGACTCACTTAAATAATGTGTCTTGAAATATTTTATGAATAGCAACAGTGGTTTCCTCACCAGGATTACAACAAACATGGAGCCCACCTGGACTACCTTAAACATTTGAAACATTTTAGCTGTGGGATTTTTACAGGAATCATGACACAGATGTGGAATCTTGTCTCTCCAGACTGATCTGGCCCAGCAACACAGGATTTCCTTTGAACACGCGCTGTTCGGTTAAATAAGAGTTGAACTGTGGTTTCCTGGACTGATTTGTTAGGTCTCATGATGCTTTGAGACTTTATAGCACTGCTATAAAACTGTCAGAATGATCACCGACAAACTCAGTTGCACTCTTTGGAAAAGGTCTTTGCGCACAGGCGTTTTGGTGCTTTAAAATGAAAACAAGGCCCACTTAGTTCAAATAAAACGTTGTAGCAAAGAAAATGGAGGCAATCGCTTAAAGAGTGGATTACATATTTCCCATCATGGTGTTGTAGATGAGTTTTAGTGAGAACAAGGGAATCTTCTGCACATACAGTAGCTCTTTGTCTTTTTTCTATACTGCAACAAAGCACCAGTACAAATAATAGTGACTTTTTTGCTTGCTGTTAGATGTAGGTTCATACAGTAGTATAGCTTTAAATACCTAAAGTAAGATTTTAACTTGATGCTTTATTTTTGCAGTCAGAAGGGGGCCTGGAAGGCCAAGGAATTATGAGATGATTCTCACCAGCCATTACTCTTGATTCAAATGCAAATATCTGTTGGACTGAGCTACAGTATGTGAAAGCTGGCTCGTTCTCAGACCAGTCTGTGGGATGCACCTGTGAGTGCATTGGCCAAACTGGAGGTTTGCCAATCTTTCAACACTCTGCCAAATCAATTTCTAAAGACTTGGAACAATTGAATTCTGCTTAAGCCAATGAGAAAGCATTTGGAATAGGAATGGAACAGCCCTGAAGGACTTTACTTTCTTAATTGATCAATAATTGACAAGTGCTCCCAATTGTTACAAACAGGGGATGTGGAGTGTCATGCATGAGTGTCTTACTGGATGGTGGCATTCCAAGACTAGGGCTTGAGAAATATGCTCAATGTGACACTCTAGCTCTGATGTGATCTTTGAAGCAAAAAGGGGAACCAAGATGAATCTGAATCATCAGCAGAGCTTGGATGGGGGCTTTCATGAGCAAATCTAGTCAACCTCCATCAGACTCTGTGATGGCAGCATGATCAATAGATTTGCACACTGTACCCGAGGAACGTTATCTGCTGCCCTTATCTTATTATGACGATTATACTGATCTAATATGATTGTCAGGAATAAGGAACTTGGAAAAAACAAAACTTTATGAAAACAAGATTTTTGTTCTGGTGTAGATGTTTCCACCTATTCTAGTAAGGGAAAAAAACAAAACCTGGACAGCCCTGGGATAGGAGTTAAAGGTGATTGCACATTCATTCCTACTGTGCTAGCACAAACACACAGCACAGCATTCCAAAACTAACCCAGACTGTGATAAAAGGCACTGGGCATTAAAAGCCATCACAGCTGGCTGCCAAGAGATATCCTGTAATTGGTTTACAGTTTCAAATTAGAATACATTACTATGCATTAATTCAGATATAAAGGCAACGGAAAAGCTTTGATTTTATTTAATGGTACCCTGGCTGAGAGAATAGAAGGACACTTATTTTCTTTACTAATCCCACCAAAGGAATCTATGAACACACCAAAAAGGACTGAGTCACTTGGGCAATCTCTGGTTACAGCGGACTGCCTGACTTGGATTCGAGCTTGTGACATGAAGATTACGGTCCCCACCCTGCCTTCAGAGTCTTCCTCTTTTTTACCATACTTATATACAGCACCTTTATTGAAAAGAAGCCAGAACAGTTGAGTGCTTGTCTAGCCTCAAAAATTAAAGTTAGCAAATGCTGTTCTGCAGTCAGTGGGAGGCTCATGGTATCATAGTAAAACTACCAGAACATGTCAAATGAAATACAATGCAATGACTGGGGAAGACAAGATGGTGAACTTACATGGCAATCACAATATCATTTCCAAGGGTCAGAAGTCGGAAAGGCAAGGTGTACCGCTGTCAGCACATCCAAGGTGATCAACACTGACTTGGGACTTGCTCATCTGGTCCCTGAGCTCTTTTCCTATGGTGTCAACAGGCAAATTCACGAAAGTGAATTCCCCTGAAGACCCAGTCTTTTGGTGTAGTAGAGTCTGTCACAGTCCAGGGAGTGGAGCTGGGAGTAATTAATAATAGTAATTAGTAATTAGCAATAATTCTTTACACTTATATAGCAGTTCTCGGGACACTCCACTCAAAGCGCTCTACAGGTAATGGGGATCCCCTCCACCGCCACCAGTGTGCAGCCCCACCTGGAGGATGTGACAGCAGCCATAGTGCGCCAGAACGCTCCCCACACATCAGCAGGGAGGAGAGCAGATTAATGAAGCCAGTTCAGAGATGGGGATTATTAGGAAGCCATGATTGGTAAAGGCCAATGGGAAATTTGGCCAGCACACCAGCGTTAAACCGCTACTCTTTTCAAAAGCACCCTGGGATTTTTAATGACCACAGAGAGTCAGAACCTCAGTTTTATGTCTCATCTGAAGGACAAAGCCTTGTTACAGTATAGTGTCCCCTTCACTATACTGGGGAATTAGGCCCCACACAGACTGCAGGGTGAGCGCCCCCTTCTGGCCCCACCAACACCTCTTCCAGCAGCGGCCTTAGTTTTTCCCAGGAGGTCTCCCATCCAGGTACTGACCAGGCTCACACCTGCTGAGCTTCAGTGGGCTGCCAGTTGTGAGTTGCAGGGTGATATAGCTGCTGGCAGTTCTGTCCAGTTCGATGCACAGTGCTGGGCTAGTGGTTACCACTCATGCCTATTCCATCATTCAGACCAATTCCTTTTTTTACATTCATGAAGTTGGAACTGAGGACTGGCTGGAAGAGGGAATTTGAACTGAAAAGCTGGAATTGACTCCTGCCTTGTTATTTAGTTAGACCCTGAGTCTCTGAAGGCTGCCATCTCACGTCTACGTTCTCCTTACGTCACAACAGGTGTGGATAATTCTCAAGACGAACTCTAGACTCCAAATCAAAATTCACATTGCTTGAAATGGGAGATGGTAAACATTTCATGAACGTGTAGCGGCCTCTTAATCCTCCGTCTCTGAAAAAACACTATTCTAACCAGCAACAGATACTGTACATGCATCCAGCTGTCACCAGAGGTACTGTCTGTGTTCTCCATCATGGTAAGATCCACACAGCCTGCCCTGCACTGTGAGGTGGGAATCATGAACTGCCTGTGTTGTGTGCTGTGCTGCGTCTTGTGCAGTAAATGCGATGGATCTGAGGAATCGAATTCCACTGATTAGCTAGTCATTAGCTTGGAATGCCCATTACTGGAACTGACGAGACTGCTCACAGTGTAACGCTATGTGTATCCCCCACCAGGGACATTCATCACACATAACAGTTGTCACGACTCTGTAAGGAAACCATTTATCACAGCCCAAAGCAAGGGGAATTGTGTCTGATAAGACATGTTTATGCTCAGACTCATTCTAAAAACACAACAAGCTACTTCCTGTCATCACTACCATAATGAGATAAACATCAACTGTTTAAATGATGTTTCTTTTCATTTTTACAGTGGACACACAAAGGTAGGACTGCCCGCATTAAAGCTTTAAAAAGTAACATTTTTTTACTTGTATTTTATTGTTTTTTAAATTAACATACAAAGATAATCAAAAATAAAGTTGCCAGTCATCACAAAACATCAAGTATTACAAATGTAAATGAGTATAAATCCTATTATTTGTCATTCTTCTCCATTTTGACGGGAACAACTATTTTGTGATGTGAATTTAGGCTAAATCCAAATAGTGATGTTTAAAATGTTGAGGAAGGGGATACTTACTGGGACAGAAGGACAAGGACAGACAAATACAGCCAAAGCATTTGTCAGATATTTCCTTATCATTTTTTTTTCATAATTCCTTCAATACCACTTTCAAGCAACCCTCACTGCAGGAGACAGTCAATGACTAATAAAGCACATGGTTAATTAACCTGTATCACCCAGACCCATCAAAGCAGAGAAAGAAAAAAATTATGTTACTTTTATGTAGGCGTGCTTAGTCCAGGTGACTATCGAAGACTTCCTTTGATTTCTCAGGCTAATCCCCTAAGGAATGCGAGTCTAGTTTCAGGGATTAGCATATTCTCAGAAGCACCTCTATCAGACATGATACTGTACTTGGTTTATTTGTGGCACTGTCTCTAAGCAGAGCACAAGAGTGTTGCTGAGTGAACCCGTCACTCCTCGTTTGATTTACCTGCTCTGGTCCTCGGGACGACGGCAGGCAAGCAGGCCATCACAGACTTGTGATTACGACATCTCAGCACCGTCAAACGCCTCATCGGGGAGACGAGAAAGCGACCAGACTGCAACAGGCAGTAACCGCAGGTACAGGCAGCTCCCCGCACATCGAAAATGATTGAGAACAAAATATGAGCCCTCTCACTACACATCAGGAAAAATGGGCACCCCGCCATCACCTAGATTCATCCTACGGAGGGTCATAGGAAGTTAAATTGGCACAAAGAGCTCAGTGCAGGGCTGTACCCTGGAGGGTCCGTCACAGGGCACTCATATTTCACGGCATTAATTAAGCAATTAATCCAGCCTGCACTCTGGAGGAAATGTAACTACCTGGAAGGTGGGTCACAGCCCATTCGAACAAGAAGTGGGGGTTGAGGAAATATAATCTGTGCCATTTCTATTTAAAAATGCCAATCTTTTTTAAAAAAAAACGCATTGTATTTTTCGAGTAATAAATGTATAACAGAAAAATGATTTCTCCGTGAATATACCTGTGTTCATTTAGTGACTTCTGCAAGATGCAGTGAGACCGACTGCAATAATAATATTTCCGAAACCAAAAAAAAAATACTTTCGCCAAAACATTTGTGATTCCCGCTCACCAGTTAGAATGACTGCATCTACAATTCAAATTCATCTCCAAAAAGAACACAACAACATCACGAAGAGAGGCTTCAAGGGGTCAGTGAAATAAATTTGGCACCCCTCATTGTCACGATTAAAAAAGTCACAACAACCTTTCTTCCCGTTTTGGGCGAAGCGAGGAGCGTCATGCACATTCACAGATGCGCCTAATTTCAAATGCGTGTTCTCGCTTGTCCCGCATACCTACTGAAAATGTCGAACGCGTGATCCGCTAGATTAATGGCTTCCGTCAACGACAGGAGAGGTTTGGATGGCAGGCAATCCAGAAAAGTGCCGGACTGAGGGCATTTTGGTTTTACAAGCCTCATGCGCCTGTTCCCTCGCGTGTCTGGAGCTCTAAACAGTACAACAGACTTTAAATCACCGCATGCATATAGAGCCAGCCTGCAACTTATCGGTAATACACATACGTGCACGATAAAGTATTTCGCTCGACAGCGGCACGCCCTGCACCCTCTCTGGTGCTGAAAAGGCAGGAGCAGGACAGCGGGCTCAGTTGGCCCAGCGCTCCGTGCGCCTGTGTACTCTATTTATCCCCGAGGCACAGAGGACATTCGGCACCCTTCTCAGCAGACAGGCAGGCGAGCGGAAAAACGAGGGACAGAGCTGGCGACGTGCTAAGATCATCGTTTCTTCTTGGCAAAAGAAATACAGGAAGAAAACACGTTTATCTGGGTTAAGGTTACTTTTTTTTTTAGTGCGCGCATAGATGAGTCCGCCCGGGAATCACATCAACCTGCGTCGCCCAACCAATTTGGCACCACACAGGGCAGTCCTCGGAAAGTGACAAAGCGGATCACATCACTTGCGTGTATTTCTGGAGAATCGCGTTAGCGGGGCAGGGGGATGCTTTAGTAACTGGAGTAAGCGATGCTGAAAGAGGCGTTCTGCCGTCCCCCCCTGACTGACTGAGCACCACCACAGCACTAATGAGTGAAATATGGAGAAACAGGCTCTCGCAACGGCCATCAGCTTGTCCATGAGCCTCTTCTCGTTGATGCTCCTCATCACGGCTATCTTCACCGACCACTGGTACGAAACCGACACCAGGAGGCACGCAGAGAACTGCGAGCGGCACGGCACCGACTCCCATGAGCAGAAAAGCCGGGTGATGCCCATGTATCACCTGCCTCTCACGGACGCGAGCAGCCCCCAGCGGAATATCGGGCTGCTGAACCCAATTCCCATCGGGAACCGAGAAGAGGACCTCCTGGAGAACTGGAGGTCGATTTTAGGACTGGGAGTTCTGGAATCGGAGTGCGGGCGTCCCTTATTCTCGACCTATTCGGGACTCTGGAGGAAATGCTACTACCTCGGTATCGATCAGGATATTGATAACCTGATATCAAAGGGTAAGAGTATTACTTCTGGGTTGGAGTTGGGGGTGGGTGGTGGTGGTGGTGGACGGGATTCGACCTGTACCGTGCAAGACAGTTTCTCCTTGAGATATAACCTGGAGCGCTTTGGAGTCGTTTACTTCTCCATGAAGAGCGGTGTTTGCTGGATGCGAATGAAAAGGGAGAGGGGCGCATTCGGTGAGCTGAAACAGATCACATCGGCGTCTTAGAAAAATAAGGTGATGCCACGAAAGGCGCTATATAAAATGAAGGTGTGATGGTGAAGCAGGCACTAGCGTGATGTTAGCTGACAGTACTCTCGCACCTGCTGGTAAGTGAAGGCGCGGGGGTAATTATTGTAACGCACCGGTGTGCAGCAGACTCCCGTATTTCCAGAAGCTTTGCTGAGATACGTGCCTTTTTATGTAAGCTACTCTTCGGGCTGAATCGGAGCAAAAGCGAGCCGAATTTTGAAATGATTTGCCGCTTCTGTCAGGGCGCAGGGCGCTTAGCCACGCAACTGAAAGCCTTTCGGTCTCCCGCTGTAAAGAGAACGGGCGTTTCGACCGCATTCAAAAGGAACTGGAGTGTTAAATCTTTTTTTTAAGCGGCTGTGGGAGAGTGCGGAGGAGAAACTGGTTTCTGCATGAACCTCTATTAACTCCAGTCTGTGCCCACAGAAAGAAGTATAAATATTGCTTATACAGTGCCCAGTGCCCACGTACATCGGTATGTTGTATATTTACACCGTTAATAGCCTGATGACTTCATTGCCCTCCTATGCAGACGTGCTAACATGAGAAGAATGCGTTATATATAGACCCCCCTCAAGATAATGCATTGACAGATATCTAGGAATACGGCGGAGATAGATGGTGACAAAATACAATTTATCTGCTTAAAGCGGAGGTGAAGTCAACAGCAATCGGGCTGCATTGGATTATTATAAATACACCCAAAACAATCTGCGTTTTTACTTATTTTAATAAAATGCCATCACCTCCGACCACAGTCATAATATTAACAACCAAGGTTTTTCCTTTTAATACGAGCCAGGATTTTATTCGAAAAGGGTTTCTCTCCCTGCGAGTGTGCCCTGTTAGTACGGAGCGTCTATTTAAAGCAGACACCTAAGGTTAAAACTTAAAAAAGTAGACCGAGGAAGGTAAAGCAAACTACAATGTATTTTAAAGTATTAAACAGATCGTAAGAGTCTAGAAAGGTAAACCGTAGTCTGAGAAATGACTGAAATTATGGTTTTAGAATACTAAAGGCACCCGGCTGTGTTGCAGTAAGTACTGGTAAATACAGAGTAGCGTATCTCACGAAAACACAAACCACAGATGATTATATGGTTGGATGCCTGGGTATGCTTTAAAATCGCTCTTTCGTGGCATCCACTCACATGTGTAGCACCGCGCAGTAATGGAGCAATCCGATTAACCGTCCAAGTAATACCCTACTCTGATAATCTCTCCGTAGCGCAAGGGAACTGGATGATGATTACATACTTACATGAAAGTGAATTTGTACACAGCTGTTGCTGGCCAGCTGGTTAAAATATTCAAATCACTAGATTGACATATTTCAAATATTATAAAATGCATTTTATACAAATTGTTTTAAATGTTTCAGTGACCCTCATCAGCTTGTTGAACACATGGTTTCTGTTCTGCCCCATTTAAAATCAAGCTGTGAGCATCTCTGAAGAAAGTGAGGTTCTGGATTGTTGTTTAGTGAGAACTGAAACTCTGATGATCTCACAACTGTTCTCAAAGCTCAAACTTAAAACAGTCTGCGTATTCACACACTAGGGCATGAATGACCTCCTAAAGCACAGAAACACATTACAGATCAGTCTAATCTAGAGGAAAGCTTGAACACTCTTTGCAAAGCACAGACAATTGTGTCCAATGGAACCTGCTGATTTTCCCAATTAGTCAATGACAATTAACATCATTCAAAACCAACAACAAGGAATGAATAATGCCCATTACAGACACTTTAATGATTTAGAAAATACACTACATTGCCACTACACAGACATTCCCTCAGGAAATCCTTCTAATGGTCTAATACAGCCATATTCATTGTTAATGTAGCAATACTTGAAGTCTCATGCAATTCCGCAGGTCTTCTTTCAGCGGTGTGAGACGGCAAGATACAGACAGCCTTTGTGTTGAGCTGCAGGCTGACGCAGGCTGAGCTTGACTTTTTAGTCAGCGCTCACCCAGTGGAAGACTAGGACATACAGCTCCAGAGTCGAATGTTGCTGTCAGGAAAGATCAAGGACAGACTCAAGTGAAACATCATCAGATTAAAGACACGGACTGCAGTCAGGGCAGAACATTGCTGTGTTTTTTCTTTCTCCTTTTCTTTCAAAACGCAAACCCTGCAGGCAATTGCAGAAGCAAAAGGCTCAGCCACGTAGTTTCTATTGAAGAGCAATAGCTACAAATATGAGAGAAAAGCACCCTTTTAATAACTAACAAATGTCCTAATAATTTTAACTTGATGGAGTGGCATGATATTGCTAACTCACTGCTTATCCAGGTGCTCTGTTATTCTTCTTTAATCCTTAACAGCATGTGTGCCCAGATTGCCATCTCTTGATCTTTTTTGTTACAATACCGTGATATGCAACCCATTTAACAGACAGCTTTGTTTAATGAATTCAGATCATCCAGGACAATGATATTTTCCTGGAACCTAGTCACTCCCCTTTGTAGTCATTATGCAATTTTACCATCTGGTTACAGGATACAGTCCCTGCCTGTGAAGACTAAGCATGTCTTTCCAGCTTCATGCCTGTGTGCTTTAGGCTGCTGAATTCTAAGGGTTTCCCTGCAGTATGTCCCAGTCTCCACCATACAAAAGGAGAATCTTAGATTTATGGACATATCTCCTCACCTCCTTCCCCTTTTTCACCGGCTTCCTTAAAATTAATTCACCTGTTTTATAATATTAATATAAGTGGGTAATGTCAAATATATAATACACTGGACTAGTGATCTTGTTTTTTATATTGAGTGTTCTGTTTTTATGTTACATGTAAGAGGAATGTTTTTGGGGTATGTCTGAAAGATGTGTTTTTAATGTACCCAGCAACACAGATGAAGGGCCTTGTGGAAAAGATAAAAGTCTTTTGCCGGAGAAAGCTCTGGAGCTGTCAGTCCGTTCCTGGTGGTTTCCTTTTATACAGAACAGAATGTGCCACCTTGTGGCTGTGTCTTAAACTGCTTGAGGCTTTCTTCGATCACGCAAGGAATTCATCTAGCCTAGTGGTGAAGGGTGAGGGCTGAAGTTTATCTCTGTTTCTGGAGCGTTATGTGGGTTGACTGTACCCTAGATGGTTTGCTGGTTTCATTGCAACTCAGTAGTGTTGGTATCCACATATACAGCTGGGTGGACAGGCACAAGAAAGATTCAGCACCCCACTCAAAGACACTGCCCTGTTTACAGTAGGTAGCAGCTTTATCACCCAGAAACTCACAGCTGGCAGCCCTGAGGAGCTCAGTAGGTGTGAGCCTGGTCAGTACCTGGAAGTTAGACCTCCTGGGAAAGCTAAGGTGTTGGAAGAGGTGTAAGTGGGGCCTGTAGGGGGCGCTCACCCTGCGGTCTGTGTGGATCCTAATGCCCCTGTATAGTGATGGGGACACTATACTGTAAAAAGGCGCCATCCTTTGGATAAGATGTAAAACTGAGGTCCTGACTCTCTGTGGTCATTAAAAATCCCAGGGCGTTTCTTGAAAAGAGTAGGCATCCCAGCATCCTCACCACATTTCCCTCTGGCCTTTACCAATCATGGTCTCCTAATTATCCCCATCTCTGAATTTGCATCATCACTCTGTTATCCTCCCCACTGAGAGCTGGTGTGTGGGGAGTGTACTGGCGCACTATGGCTGCCGGTGCATCATCCAGGTGGGGCTGCACATTGGAGGTGGCGGAGGGGATCCCCATTACCTACAAAGCTCTTTGAGTGGGTGTCCAGAAAAAAACTATATAAGTGTAAGGGATGATGATGATGATTATTACTCAAACCAGGTTAAAAGTAGAAGCACAAAGCCTTAATGTGTATTTCATCAAATGCAATGTATATTACATAAAACATACAGTATATTTACAGTTGCTTTTGGTATATTTGAGTAATTCTAGCTGTTGAATTCCCTGTCTCTGTTTTCAGTCCATTTCCAACCCCCACTGAAACACACTGAATGTCTCACAGGTATTGCACAGCGATGCACATCAGTCAAGTATCATTTCTCTCAGCCCATCCGACTGCGCAACATCCCCTTTAACTTGACAAGGACCATCCAGCAGGATGAGTGGCACCTGCTGCGTGAGTACTTTTAAATCTTGTACATTTTTCAACCTGATAATGTTTGTTTTTTTTGCTCTCCAGGACACACCTTATAGAAAAAAAAGAGAATTTGGTTCCTTCTTAAAAAACAAATGTTATATAAAAATAAAATCCCAACGAGTCCATACCTTCTGAAAATCTGATCATACGTACAGTACATTATCTGTAATGTTGATTATTCTGGGACATATGCATTACATTTATACTTGTGTAAGTTTAGACAAATGTTCACATTGATATACAACGGGACATTTATGTAAATGCCAATCCAGGACAAAAAGAAACACAGAAGAAATCATACATTAATACCAGAAAGGCAGAGTTTCCTAGGGGAAATTCAATGTGCAACCCAATTAAGACCGTAACATTCATAATCTCTGCTATTTGATCAGTTCGGATTCGGACTCAATTCAATTAAGAAGCCGCGGTTTGTTTTGTGCAGTTTTGCACTGCTGGTTGGGGACGCTCAGGATTAATAAAGACCTCTCCAGGTTGGCTGCCTGTGCCCTTCTCCTTGAACGAATTTCCTTCAAGCAGTGTGTCTGCGACTGTGCCTCACACTCCAGAAGATGGTCGCACAATTACTCAGATCATTACTTTGAACACTAACTATGGGCATATTTGAACCGTTATTTCAAGGGCGATTTAGCCTAACCTAACTAAATTGCAAAAGCATTTCTCCATTCATACTTTTTTTAATACATGCAAACATACAGTAAGACAAGAGGATTAGGAGTATAAAAAGGAAAACGGAGAGTTTTCACCTTACAGGTTGTGCGCCGGCACCTCGTGTCACTCTGCTTCACAACAAATTCCCATCACCACGCTTGCAGAGGCCCTTAAAAAAAACACAAAAGGGACCTAAGGTAATATTTTGCAACAGCGGCCTTGTCTCTTTGACTAGGGAACAATACTGAAATGCAATCGAACGTGCTGTCACTGTACGAAGCTGCTGATTCAAACGTATTCTATTTATGTTGTAACAGATGGCGACTGGCTTTTTTCTTTACAAAATGTGTTTAGAAAACAGTTGTATTGACTGTGTTAATGAGATCTGTAATCAGCATCTGTGCATGATTCCCCACACGAAAATCATTACAAGCAGAAGGCAGCGGTGAGGACACCCCAGTGCTCTTGATCGCGGGTTAAGATTGCTTGGAATATTCCAATTAGTCACGGACACTTTATGTTCTTCTGTACCTTTTTTTTTCCTAGACTGAAATAAAAACTTGTATCCAGTTAAAATCAGTTGTAGCCGCTCTGCCACGTACCATAGGAATGAAAAATGTGAGATTGGAAATTATCTTTGTGAGCCAAAGCCTTCAGGAGTGAAATAGGGGCACAGCGAGAGGCACCCTGTCGCGATATTTCTATTCTTTTGTTCTTTTCTTCCACTGCAACTTCAGATCATCACCGTGAGAGAACGCTGGTTCTCGACAGACATGTCTGATCGTTCAGGGCCTGTTCCAGCACTGCTCCCGGGGGCAGGTAGTGAGGTGTTGCTCTGTGTTTCTCAGACCTGCGCCGGATCACAGCGGGCTTTCTGGGCATGGCGGCGGCCGTGCTGCTGTGCGGGTGCATCGTGGCCACGGTCAGCTTCTTCTGGGAGGAGAGCCTCACCCAGCACGTGTCCGGCCTGCTCTTCCTCATGGCGGGTAGGCCTCCCGTACGAGTCACAGCGCGGCCCCACGCCCCCGCCCACCTCTCCATACTGTGACAGGAACAACCTTCTCTTCTCTTCTAACCTCTTGCTGACGTGTTGCACTTGCGTATTTGAGGGACTTACGAAACGTGTCTAGTGCTTTCGGGATATATCCTGTTTCGGGACATCTGCCGGACAATTGGTATGTGCGTACCGTTCGCATATAGGAAAAAAAAAAACCCCGAAAACAGAAAAGACCATTTACAGACCTCTGAAGAGAAGACCGTTGCCTCTCCACTGGCGAACTCAGAACACCTGCTCAACGACAGACATTACACTGCTGCGGCACTCGGAGAAATTCTACCGGCGGCACCGACTGACAATGAGCTACGAAAGGCGGCAGATTCTTCCTCTGATTCCCAAGAACAATGTCTTACCTCCCTTATATTTTTTTTTTTCTCCTCAGGTATTTTCTGCACAATCTCTTTGTGTACCTACGCAGCCAGCATCTCGTATGATCTCTCTCGGACTCCGTCGTTCATCTACGGGCTGCCCGGCGACGTGGAGCATGGTTATAGCTGGTCCATATTCTGTGCCTGGTGCAGTCTGGGCCTCACGGTAGCGGCGGGCTGCCTGTGCACCACCTACCCCTTCATCAGCAGAGCCAAGGCCGTGCAGTCAAAAACCGCCAGGGACTCCTCGGTGTGAAGGCCACTGCTCCGGAGCCAGTGCTATGCCAAGCACTATGCAGCATTTCCTTTTAAAGCATTGCTTTATGTTTGGGAGTTCTGTGGCGAGACCTGAATTCAAGACTTGATATCGTATCTCCCCCAGCTGTGTCCTGCCAGGTGTTGTGGAATAATGTACATAAAAACCCAGACAAAATGTGGTCCAGTGTAGATTGTTACCTCTGTTATATCGGTAGACAGTTCTAGGAAAACCAATTAAACTACTGTGAAGACTTCAAGAACTGTGATTGCTCCCCAGCACCTCCATTTGTGATGCAAGAAGGATTTATTGTGAGCGGCAACATTCTGGTGACGTATTAGTTACCACGTTAAAGCATGAACCTCAGACAAAACCTCACGTTGTCAAACCAAGTGCTGTTTTCCATTTCCTATAAGAGACGATTGATTTTTAAAAACTCTTTCAGTGTCCCCCTCCAGACTCCTGCTTCTCCTGTGACAAGTGAAGAAGTCAGTGCAGCACCAGCAGACAGGGAGACAGGCACCTGAAGGACTGCAGCACAATCTGTGTCGTGTGGATCCCTGCAAGCACGGTGGATCTTGGCACTACAGACTGCCACCACATTGTGACACCATTCGTGACAGAGGAGGCAAGGCAAGAGGAGCCCAATGCCCATCTCTGCTAATATAGCCACCCCTTTCAATGAGGGGAGAACAGTCATTTCAGAAAAGTACCGTAACACAAACTGCGACTGCAGAGGGAACTGAAAACGGACAACGTTTTTTTTTTTCTGGCTTGATAGGCTGCTTCACTGCTGCATGGAAAAAACAACAAACAGTATGAAGCAGTCTGGTTTATTGTGTGTGTGTGTGAGATCTGAGTTTTTAAAAAAACATTTCGGACGGAGAATAGGAAAGATTTCATGACAAGGCTTCCCAGCCAGCTTGTTGAGGCCCAGTCTCTGGGCACCTTTAAGAAACCTCTGGATGAAATTCTAGGTTCACTCAGGTGCTGAACTACCACCCGAGCAAGATGGGCCACATGGCCCCCCGCTTGTGTGTAGACCTTCGTTTTGTTCTTTTGATGAAGTAAGGCAGGCTCCTTTTGAATTAATCAGCAATGAAACGACTGTGGACATGAGAAAAAACAGGGAATCTTCATTCCTCCTCGAAGCTGAGACCTGCTCTTGAAACTGAGTGAAAGACCGAGTCTGCTGGGCTTCGAAAGCCCTAATGTGCTGACGTACAGTTACTGAAAACAACAGCAACAAAAAATCCTGAGCTGTAATATCATCATTTTGTACACTGTGAATTCAGTTGTTCTGTTAATAAAGTACTGTTAAGTATATAAATCATCATTTCCGTCTCTGATGCTTGTCTCTGTTTTTTGCTTGTCACCAGTTTTGCAAATGTTTGGAACTAGTATGAATAAAGATCAAGGTTTATCTTTTCAAAAATAATGAAATCCTTATTCAAGCTCTCCCAAATGTATACTGATGCTAAAGTCTTTTATCCCAGTCTGTGTGTCTCATGGAGAGCAAGCTGGGGTATGCAAGAAGACAAATTCCTAGTACAAGAAATTGTGTATGGCCAATAAAGTGATCTCGTCTTATAGGGTGTTGAAAACCAATCTTTTTTTTCCCCCAGAAATCTGATTAAGTGCAGCAAGCAGACAATAGCGCTAACGTGTGGCTACTCTGTGTATTACACTGAAAGGCATAGCAAGGCAGATTAGCCATGCCCTTGACAACAGGGATTTTTTTATTTGATCGCATTAGAAGAAAAACATACTTTGAGTCCAATGCCATGATTTCGAGTGACCATTAGCATCGGCAATCATTCACTTTTTGTGATGTTCAAGGAGTAACAGTCAGTATTTGGTTGCATAACCCTTCTGAGGCCATAATTGCATAAAGGCTGTGGTCGACTGAGCTCTCCAGACTCTTTTGTCTAATCATTTGAGATGCTTCGCTGTGGCCATTGTGAAATTTCCCTGTTCTTGTCATGCCACGGTTTAATTTTTTTCCTCAGCAAATATGGCCAAGATTTCCCATTGACCCTTACCAATCATGGCCTCCTAATAATCCCCATCTATAAATTGGCTTCATCACTCTGCTCTCCTCCCCACTGAGAGCTGGTGCGTGGGGAGTGTACTGGTGCACTATGGCTGCCATCACATCATCCAGGCGGGGCTGCACACTGGTGGTGGTGGGGATCCCCATTAACTATTAAAGCACTATAAAAGTGTAAGCAATTATAATTATTATTAAACTGCACGCTCAATCAGGTTTCAAACCAAAGATTTCAATCTAATCATTCCAGTACTGTGGATGACAATGTATTGCATCCACAGCCCTACAACCCTGTAGCCTCTAACTGTGATACTATGTAGCTGCACGCATTGTGTGGCTGCTGAAAACTAGATATTAACTATGATGAGTAACCACTTACCCCCAAGACGTGTGTCATTTAAGGACTGGCATTTAAATCAAAACTAGCCAGCTGATTTGACAGGTCCCTGTAAAACATTCTTTTTTGAGAATGTTTTAACATTTTTATCATTTATATTTGGAACTAGTGTACTTTCAGCAACTGCTTACTCTTCATATGATCAGATTGGGCTTTAATGTACTCCCTCTGTATAAAAAAAGATAAGAGCCCAGAGGAATTACAGCAGCCGGTTGTTTTAATTGCACACTCATTGCAAGGACTATTGCATGTTGCACATCACCAGTCACTTGAGCTTAATTCATCAGTGAGTCAATTTCACGTCTGACATGACTGGCAGTGTTAAGGATGTTATGCTTGTACCCTAGGCTCTATCATAAATAAACAAATCACAGCAAATAAACAAGCACAACTGCAAATCTTCCAGCTTTCCATAAGTCCATCATGTGTATATGTGTTGGCCGTACTTTCCAACACTGGGACCTTCTTGGGATTCAAACATCTTGGGACTACAAACAGCCCAGAAAATATTTTAATTAAGACTTGGCTTCCAAAACAGTCTTGTTTTTCAGTGTGTGTTCCATGTGAGTAGCAACAGACTTTAAATAAACAGAAACATCAGTTTGGTAATGTCTGCTGTCTGTTGCCATTACCATCCAGGACTGCAAACGACAAAGAGATCAGCCTGGCTGAGACAAGGGCGTCTGCTGAATTTGCCTTTACTGTTACTTTCTCTACCCTGTACAGAAAGCTGCAATCTCTCAGATTGTGCTTTGAAGAAATTCCAATCAGAAACAGTGGCTACATTCAATGTCTTGCATAGCCCGGCCCGCAAGCTTTGGGTCGCTGAACGGAGAGCCAGCCCTTCTCAGGATGTAATGGATTTAGCTGTTAATCAGAAAGCCAGAAAACGCGCAGAACAGAAAGAAACACGGCAGAGCATCGTGCCAAACCACGGTTTTGTATTTTGCGGAGGTCTAACAGTTCGGCTGTTCCCGAACACTTCCCTCATTGCCTGTCGCTGATTGGTCCACAGCTCATGCAGTGGGCAGCTGCAGGGCGCCCAGCTGAGGGCCTGGTACTGTAGTCGGTGCCCCAACACCACAGCTCTGGTGTGGCCAGGTGGAGGAACGCTGACCTTCGCCGTTCTCCAGGAGGGGGCCCCACGGCCTTTCAGACACCCTGGGGGTTGAGGCCCCAGCTGGATCTCCCAATCTGCTCACTGCGGCGCTCAGCCCCCGGCCCGCTGTGGGGTTTCGGCCACACCTGCTCCAGAGAGTACGCAGCACGGAAGTGGACGTGATCACCCCATCGCTATCGGGCGATGGGCGTTTTCAGGAAGATCGCGAGCCTCCGATTTTGGTGGTGGCGCCCCCCTTTAATTTTTGTGCCAAAACCAGAAACCACATCGCGTCTCATCGGGACGGTGGTTGCAAACAGACCCATCAACAAGAAAAAACCACGCACTGTAGAAACCGTAGAAATACAGTTTTGCACTGAGCGTACGGACATACCGCAGCTAGAACAGCATCAGGTGGGAGGGATCACCTTCTTGTACTCCTGTACGAGGCCATCAGTCACTCCCAGGCTGACTCTGTAGGTGCCCATGCGTACTAACGAGGGGAAGTCCATGGGGGCTGAGCTGGAACCCTCTGCAGAGACCAGGACCCTGTCCGCCGTCACCTGATCCACGAGCCGAGGAGACGCCCTGCCGGCCTCCCCTGCCTCTTCGGAACCGCCGGCCGCCGGCCTCTGGTTCTGCTGCGGCTCCCGGCTGAAACTCTTCCCCAGGAAGGCCGACAGCTGGGGGCTGAGCAGCAGCACCAGGGTCCCCCCCACACGAAGCACCCTGGAGGTGAACCACCAAGGAGGACCAGAGGGGACACAGCAGTGAGCCTTAAAAACGGTACGGGGTCATCACTTCACAGTTTCCCCCGTCCGTGAAACGTGTGATGAAGAGTGGACAAGTTCCATCACATCATCCATTCTTCACGACACTGTTGATCCTACTAACAGCATACAACAAAAACGCACACGTGTGTTTACACAAGAAGAACTAACTTAAACTAACTAACAGGGCCTGCCTTTGTAAAAGTCCCTTTTTTCCTCCTGGAGCACACCAGCCAGGAATTTACGATGCGTTTTTGTTTTTAAATGCCTCTTTAGGGCACAGGAGGTGTGAGCATCAGTCAATGCACAGGAAAAAAAAACTACGGATCTTTCTGAAACATCTGGAAAATTAATTATCAATCATCTCTTACAAAAGCAGCAAACATCATAGATGCTGACCATGCTACTCAGAATCACCATCAGAATGCAAACAGGGAAAGAGACAAAGATCAATGAGGTCATCTGATTTTGTAAATTAATATTTCTTTTTAAAAGTTTTTTTTCCCTTTTTTTCCCCTGTATTATTAACAAAGATTTCACTTAAGGAAAGTCAATTTCAATACCCAGCATATATACTGTATAAGATGTTAAAGGTGACAAAAACATCTTTTTAAATACACTTACCTTTCCATTTCTTTCACAATGGCAGGCAACATGATTCTGACGTCAGTTTTGCAGCCGAATTTTCTCCCAAAGGGAATATCACAAATGACAGCATCGACACTGGCTGCAGGCAGGGGTATTTCTGTACAATAAGCACCAACATATTAGGTACTGTATCTAACAGAGGTAGAAAGTGAACTCAATCATGCTCAGGCATCCAAAAACATGCACACAGAAGGCAGTTTGAAAGGCCTAATAGAGGATGGTCAGGAGTACCTGGTTTGTCTGCAGTTTTTCATCCCAGCTGTGCTCTTAGAGACCTTAATCACCTCAATACTGGCTAAACTGGACCACATGGTCTAAGACTGCACTGAGACCACCTTGATCTAATACAATGCCACTGTTTTTTTTTTTACTTTACCAAGAAATGATGGAACTTATCTTATTTAAAGGGGAACCGCAGTCCCAATTTCTCAGGCTGGTTATTAAATCTTGGAAACAAAATAAATTAATTTTGACAGTAAAGAAAAATCTGACCAATTTCAAAGGAAGCACAAAATTGTGATCTTTGTGAAAGCACTGTTAAGTCTCCATGTTGTTGCAAACCCCTGTTCTCATCACGGTCGAGAGCGAGAGCTGCCATGAATTACAGTGTGACATGGCCCTTCCTGCTCACTAGTCACTGTAATCACTGCTGTACTGTGATGTACGAGCCAATAAGTACAGGTTATGCAGCAGACATTTCACTGCAGAAATGTTCAACTGTGATCTGCATGCAGAGTTAACAAGTATATTGTATTTGTCAGTTAAACTGTCTCGAAATCAAGTACAAAATTACTATTGGATTAAAAGAGGTGTATTCACAAGCCTACTCATTTACAATGTAATAAGGGTGCTTCACATCACTGGAAGTTTTTTGGCCTCATTCCGAATCGCAGTACTTGGTGCTGCACACACCTGGAAATTTTGTGATGTAAATTGGGAGGTTTTACAAGTAATTATGTGCATTTAACTTTTATTGTGGTTTGAAATACACTCAGCAATGCCGATCCTTTCTAACTCTGAAGCATAAAAATAGCATTTCAGTTCCCCTTTAAATATATAGAGAAATTTTAATATTATTAAATCTTTTATCCCTGCATATTTAGATTTGTATTATAGGTTTTTTTAAGGCTAAAAAGAAGTAGCTTTGAAAACATATTGACATGTTTTAGAGCCATAATATAGAACATATTCCCACACCCACAGGGCAACCTAATTTACACGTAAAATTCCAAAAAACCCAAAGCACTGCATTAACACCACAGATTTGCACTGCTACACTATATGGTTTCACATCTATCCCATTCAAGTGATCACTGCATATCCCAACACAGAACTGCAGAGAGGACAGCATGTTTGTAAATGCCTCAGTGGGTGTAATCTTACCAGTTACTGATGCCTTCATCAATTCAATTCTGCTCGTGAGATCTGAGAACTGGATGTTTTCACGAGCTTTTTTCAGCTGTGATTCATTAATGTCTATTCCCAGGAAAAAAGCATTCTGAAGAAGATGGGGAAAAAAGTCATATTTCCAGTTGTTAACAGGTGTATTACATCAGTAAACAGCTACAAAAACAACAAAAATGCAGAAAAACAATGCAGAAGAACATGACATTTATACTTTGCCTTTTTTTAAATATGCCTTCTCAGATAATTTAAAGTTTCTGACATTCTCAGGGATTCGTTTAAAATCTACACTCAGCTAAAATCACAAGCTTTGCTCTCTTTCTCTCCCAGGTTCTCACACTTACTACATTATCTTACAGAATGCAGGGAGGGGAAATGATTGCTTAGCAGAGGCGAAGTCGAGGACATATTTTTAAAGCAGCCTCGAAGGATTATTTTGTATCAAAGAAGAAACCTTCAGTCCAGAATTCTGAAAGTAAAACGATAGTTTTGGTCTCACTGCACTACAGAAAAAAACTGAAACAAAGTGATGGGGCAGCTTAAAATTCCTAAGTTGTTTTGGATTGTATTTTAATTTGTTAAAACTGATTTGAAACAGCGTGTTTTCTAAATCATGGAGATGCTGGAAAAGGTTTGTAAAGTTGAATCCATGCTTTTCCAAAAGATATAAAACCTCAAACTTATGCCAAACAGACGTAAAGGAGAAGGAAACGATTTTGGCTACAGCTGGGAAAACTCCAGTGTGTTCAATGGCTCTGAGACAGACCAGCCAAACTTGTTCCCATCTCCCATAATAACAACAGGAGCACTGTTCTGTAGCAGGCACAGCTGTACAGAACGAATTGTGGAGAATGACCATGTGTCTTGAGCCTCCTAGCAGATAAAGAAGAACTGTTGTGCATGTGGTCAGTGTTAAAAATGTAGCTTGCTCACTGATCTTATCATTCTTTCATGATCAGAGTGTCATATGCTTTAAATTTGTTCATGCATGTAAAATGGGTCAGAATGTAGATTACATATAAATATACCAAACAAACGTACTGTAATGCAACTAATACAGACAAATACATATGGGTTTATATTAGTCTTTACATTTCTGAATTATTCAACTGGTATTTTTTTCTGTTGGATACCTTCCATGGACCGAATACACTCTATATGTATCAAGTATCCAATACTTTGTTCTACATAGGGCACACAGGGTTGGTCACTGCAAAGAAAAAATCTTACTTGCCACTCCTTTGCTGCTTCAATAAGTATAGTCCCAACTCCACACATCGGATCCAATACAAAACAACCATCCTGCTAGTTCAAAAAATGTGTTAAGAAAAATGTCAGATTTTAGCATGTACAATCATTTAAACTGAGAGGGAGATTGCTTGAGGGCCTTTTCATCAGATCAACTACATGTTTTGTTGAGTTTAGGTTCTGTACTTTGAAGGCATAAAAAACGTTCTCGCTAAAGTTTTGGAAAATACTTCATTACATTACTCAAATCTTCAAAAGAGGTCAAATGCATTACTTCTGCTGCGAATCACAAAGCTGATGCTTCTTGGTTTTTAAGGAACTCGCAGTTATTTTTGATACCTTGATAGCAGCAAGTGAGGCCATTGCCCAGGCTGTGGTAGATCTCAGACCAGTTGTTCTGATATATGGCCGATGAGCTAAAGGAAGCCTACAGAATGAGACAGCAATTATTTCATATGACGTGAGATTTAATATGAGGTTACACTGAAGCTCACCAATTGTAGATTGTCAGCAATATCTGTCGATTATTATCATTTTTTGTTACACCCACATGACTTGGAAGAGCCAACTGTGTGTTTTTCATGTCTCAGCTCACGGCTCTGAAACCTGTGATTGTACACGGGGGACAAGGAGGAAGTACAGGCCGGCTCCTCCCACCCACCCAACTTGTAGCCAGTCGTCTTTTAATACGTCACAGGCAACACCTCCTCCCTGCGCGAGGTGCAGTCCCTCACCAACAACACCGCATCCCTGCATGTATCTGGGCTGCCATGGGGTGCTGTGCTCGCCGAGAACCCAGAACACTCTGGCTGACTAATCCCACCCTACCCTCGGCAGTTCTCTGCCAACATTATGCTGCATTGTACTTGGGGCTTTCCAGTAAAAGGTAACTGATGCTATGACTCAGCCCCGAACCTGCATCACCTGGATCACAGAGATAAGCAGGTTCTCGGGCAAGCACTGGCTGAGCCACTCTGGAGATGCCAACATATTTTTGCTTGTTTCTTCATCTAGATCAGGAACCTTCAACCCCTTTCCTGGAAAGAACCAATTTTTAGGTTTTAAAGATAAGGAAGACTTAAATTGTTAGTCAATTAAGCAAGTCATTAATGTTACTCTGGTCCTTGAGACCTTAAGGATCATCAGATTTATGTTACAAATGAGCAGCGCATTTAAAAAATCCTGTGTATCTGATTGCAGATAAATTGTTCCAAGTCTTTAGAAATTAATGATTGAAAGTCTAACCATAAAACTTTCTGAACGGGGTCTCTCAAGGAGCAAAGTCAGAGAGACATGGTCTAGCTATGTCAGCTACAACAAAACTATTAAAAAAATCTCTCAAAACTGAGTTTTACCTGAAAACTGGAAATCCCAGAATGCAATGGGCGTCACTTAGGTGAACATTAACCTGAAACGAAACATCAAAATGACAAACAATATGCATGACTAAAACCTCCATTTGTGTCATCTTCTCCTTGTGACAATTCCCTTACCTCAAGATCAGGCTCTCTCAGGTCTGCTTTCCAGCCAAGCCGCTTGTGAATAGCCATGCCAATGATCCTTCCCAGCTCCTACACAGAGAGTCCCATAACATACTGGATACCACACAAAGCATTGCCAAAATCCAGAACAGTTGGCCAAGAGCGCTTTGGAACTAGTGGGGCCAGATTTAATTAAGCACACCTTGGACGGGACGCTGGTCCATCCTAGCTTGAGTAAAGCATGTACAGCTAAACCTGCAGTCTCCTAGTTTTTCAGGTAAGTAACTCTCCTGATATTCGGAGTCACATAGGCTTTGCTAAACGGCAGGCTACTCACCTGGGGACTGAACTTCCTAGCCAATATGCCGCTACAGCGACAGCAAACTCTGAAAGACACGAGGGGCTGTTTGCTGCTGGAGATCACATCTGCTGGACAAGAGGGCCCCTCTGAGACATGGTCAGCTCGGCCGGGCAGCACCGACCCTGCACTGTCCAAAACCTGAGCAGGAAGAGGAGTTTCTTCCGGGCTTCCCTGGAGGTCTTGTTTCTTGGCCGGAGAGCTCCCGTCGCCCTCCTCCTCTTCCTCCTCCTTCCCAGTCTCCTCATCGCGCTTTCTTTTCCGACTCCTCCGAGAAGCAGCAGGGCCCAGACGGCTCTCCTTCGCGGCCTGCTGGAGACTCAGCCAGGCAGACAGCCCCTGCTGCCAGTCGCCCAGCTCCCCGATTATTTTCTCCTGGATCACACGAGTCATCTTCCCTGAGAACAAAACACCAAAGGCAAACCCATTATGGCCCCAATGCTTACACCACGATGTCCACTACCGTTCATGAAGGCTCGCACCTTTATCTTCATTAAATTCCCACACAGAAATCTCACCAGATCCGAACCTGCTTGCTTCTCCCGGTGTCTTCATGGGACAAGACAGTTTGCAGGTTTGCTCCATTATGAACAGATGTTATTATAAGGAACTGTAATTGCCACAAATACCTTCTTAATTCTTTGATGCTTTTCACTTCTGTTTTAGGGTGTGTTTGGACAAACTATTGGTAGAATCAGAGCATTGCTCGCCAACGTATTAGAACATCAAACAATTTCTCAGATTCTCAGATACTAAATTTTCCAGGTGCACAAATAGCCCTGTCATATACTGTAGCATGCCTCTGGACAGTGTAATAGTGGATTTAGCTAAGACGCTATCTGCTGCTCAGTAAAATAATATACAGTACAGGAAGGAAACAGGATTTACACAAGAAAACCAGTCCTATTGTTGCCTATTAAGAATGAAGGAATTATTGAATGTGGCAAGGAAACCACCAAAATGGCAGGATTATCACTAGTGCTATGTGGTGCTTATGCCTAGAAACTTATTTTACTGCACATGTAATTGCCATTTAAATTTAAAGACGCTTTAAATTGTTCTTGACGTGAGATTTATTTGGATTCCTAACATGTTGGGTGAAAAAGAACATTGACAGATACTAGCAATACTGCTGGGGAGAAATAATTTATCTCCTGGGTCTAACTAGCCAGCGCCATGCTGTAGCACTGGCAGCAGAAATGAATCCGAGATGCATCTGTGCCCCATGTGTATCAACAGGCTTCCTGCAAGGGACAGAGTGGTCTACAGTCCCACGATGCAGTAAATAACACCATTAACAACATCTCCGAGCACCAGAGGGATCAGAAAGTCTCCAAAAAGAAAACAATTCTGAGAAACAGAATTAAAAACCCTTAAACTTACTTTACACCCTGGGAATGGCATTAAACTGTATGTCTCATCACATCTTGGATGTCTCTTGACTCATGGGGGTATTGTATACTACTGCTGTAGGAATTCAGTTACATTTTAATGTTTGTCTTCAATCTTGCCTCTCACATGTGGTGTTTTTCTACACGAGGATCACATAAAAGGATTATGGGCCTTTTAAAAAAAAAAAATCCCGTCTCACCTGAATCCCAGGGAGCAGGTAGAGGAGGCAGTTTCTTCAGGAGCAGAAACAACCTCTCGGCGGACTTCAATCCCCTCAGCCTCTCCAGACCAGCGCTCGTCGTGAAGAACACCTTACCCGGTATGTGTTCAACCTAACAAAACAGTTACAAATCGGCCAACTTGGTCCGGTGGACAACCAACAGCATTCTCAGAAATCCAGACTGCTGCAGGCAGTTGAGATAATATTAAAATAAAAATAATAATAATAAGAATAATAATAAACATTATATTATATAGCGCCTTTAAAGGTGGCTTCTCAAAGCGCTTTACAGAATGACAACAACAACAATAAATAAAAAGAATACACAAGATAAAACACAATTACAATATATAGAGGAGACCGTGGATGGTGGTACAAAGAAAAGCAGAGGGGTGAAGATGAATGCGTTTGGTTAAGTGAGGCTAGTGCAAACACTACAGCCGCCTACATTACGTGAGCCAATGAAAGAACGCTACATTTTTTTAATTCAGTCGTTAAAGTTAAGTCAGTAGGTCTTGCTTTCAAATTGATTTGGGGTTTTTTGGGGAGTATTTAAATAGTTGGTTTGTGTAGCACAACATTTACAATATATTACAGTGATCGAAAGGGGAAATAATAATAATAATAATAATAATAATAATAATAATAACACGTTTTCTGTGGACGGACACTTTAGATACTCACATCACAGGCTGACAGCTTGGAAATCACTTCCTGAACAAGAAATTGCTCCATGCCTTTCCCAGCAGTACAGAAGTACCGCAATTCTTTCATTTCCTGCTATTTAAAAAAACAAACACACTTTGCCTATAAAAGCGGGATAAAATATTAAGGCCTGAACGCTGTGGGGCTTGTTTTTTCTCCAACAGGCGACTAGTAGCCACAGTTTATTCACTTTCTCTTTGAGACAGCGCACTTTTTTGATTGTACAGCGGAAGCGGAAAAGAGCTGCATCTCCTCGGTCAATTCTTTTGTGGCGCTATTCTCCCAGTTACCGACAGAGGTCTCTCTTTCACCAGGCTCTCGGATCACCGTCCTACGTGAATCATGGTTCAAAACTAGTATTCATAAATATGTAACATGCCTAAAGTTGTTCAGTTTTTGTTTTCGGCAATCAAACCCATCATACATCATTGAGATTAATGAGGAGAATTAAGGCTTGTTTAAAGCTGTATTAAATTGACTAGCTACACTTGTCATACCTTGGGTTGCCAGCTGGCCTCAGAATAATCTGACACTCCCAGTCAGGGCAGGTTTTTAACCTGGTCTCTAAATGGAGGCAATAACTCTTTGCTAAATGAAAGTTGTTGCCTAATTATAGCAGGGAACTATCGAAATGAATACCATGACAAACAGAAAACTTTATTTTAGCTGTTAATGCGCATTAGGCTCGGAGCAGCAGGCAGGGAAGTCTAATTCTGTGTGTTAAACCAATGAAATGTGGGTACAGGCTGAGATATGGAACTGGAAGACGAATCAAACTGACCCGCCTGCCTTTCCCCAGCTTTAACATTTCTCCTAAATTTGGAGGAATCTCATGTTTTAGATGGAAGCACACTGATTTTGAACCCCACCCTCTAAAGAGCCAGAAAAATATGATGAGTGTTCTACCTCCCAGTGGGAGACAACATGATTGCTATCCTAGTCTTACAAGTGCCAAATGACTCATTTCAGAAGAGAAGCTTGAAGGGCCTTGAGTTTTTGTGCTTGCAGCTTGAACACAGAAAAACAAAATTGCACTTCCGTATATAGTTTGAATTTAAGGCAGTTTTCATGTATTTCATGGGGGGTGGGGTGGTGGATAGTAGCAGATTTTCAGCAGCTTGATTAGAAGCACACAAGAGGTTTCTCTTCAGAAATGTTATTAAATTTCTGAAGCTTATGAAAGCTGCTTAAACTAAGCACATTTAAAGTTTAAGGGCCCTGTGTTGCATAACTTGCTAATGTATGCAAATATTCCTCCTATGGCTGTCTTCTCATAAATTACTCTTTGACATTTCCAAGTTTGCTCAGAAGGAAATATGCACCACTTTCAGTAGAAATTATAAAAAGATGGAAAAAACACCAGCTTGTAAAAATGAAGTAGCGGAGTTCTAATTTTATAATCTGGCAGACCTCAGTTCTATAAATTGTGATTTTGTTGTCACTCGTTTTGTCCAGTTTTTAAAAACCTACTGATGGTTGCGTTTTTGCTAAATGCTTTTACAGAGTGAATCACATTGTCACATCCTTTAGTGTTCAACCCAAGCCAAAAGCTAATAAGCTCAGGCTACTAAATTCTGATTGTTATTCACAGATTGCATTTGTTAAAAAAATGTTCTCATCATTAAAAGCTATCGCTGCATCTTTCATCTTGCTAAAAACTCCCACCACCTTCTCTCTAAATGCTAATCACATAGATTCAATTCATCAGCCCATAATATTGGATGAATCCAAGTAGAAACAGAACATCAATACACTTATCATAGATGCCATTTGAAATAATTAGACTTGTCAGCCAGTGTTATGCAAAATGTTATGTTGAAGATGGCCTAGTGATAAATACAGTCACGTCTACTGCTTTCCATGCATTTTTTCCTTTTCTTTCCCTTTACAAGGTTAAAATGATATGACAGAATGCATAATGTAGTAATGTAGGGACAGAACAATGTCATAATAATCCTTCAATTATTTAAATCAACAGGACACTTCACTAAGAGAGAAGCACAATGAAATCATGCATTGATTTGGCATTCATTCATCCATTTTCAATGATTTTCGTGTCTCCCATTAAACGCCTCAAAAGTGAATGAGCCAAAAAGGAATGAAGCAAATGCACGTGCTTTAAGTCAAAATGTTAATTAAAGCTTTCTTGCCAACAGGAATTCCTTGAAGCCTAATGTATGAACTATAATGCTAAATTACTTATTGCTAATACTAGTACTGGTGCTGGTGTCACTCATTAGAGTACTGTATATCACAGTTACAGCTGCCCCTGTGTTTGGGCTCTGCTCTCTTGGAAAACAATAAGAAATTGCATTCCGCGTCCAGTTTCCAATCAGTTTTTAAAGACTCATTTTTACAGGCTCAGGTTACTGATCTTTTATTAAGGTCTCATTTTTAATGATCCCTAATTTGTCATCTCGTTACCTTGTTTCAGTTCTCATTTGGTCTGTTAGGGGCATGGAGGCACATGCATGAACCGTGGCTTCGAGAGGAATAATAAACAGCGCCATGATTGCAGCTGGGGAACAAGCAGAAAAAAATGGCTCCAGGCTGGCGTCAAGCCTTATGTGCCCAATGCCAGTGTCAATCATAGCCTGTGAAGAAGTGCTGTCTTCCCGCTGCTGAGAGAGTGCTGTCTTCCCGCTGCTGAGAGAGAGAGGCAGTGTGTGATACTTTACTACCATCCTTCTGACCTCTGCGTCTTGTCCCGCTGGGCAGATTTCCTCTCTCATTCAGTGGTTGACAGTACGACCACACTTCAAAGGGAGTCATGTCAATTATGACCTCTTCCTCTGATAAATATTTGGCAATACCTCCCAGCAGGAGGCAGGATAAAAACAGTTGAAGAAGCAATTAGTTGATCAAAAGATCCATCAAACAAACTCTGGGATGTTTTTAGATCTTGGTTTACAAATCTAAAATGAAACAAAAAAATGTTAATGTACCTTCCTGACAGCCTGGTTATATTTCCATATAATGATAGCTTTAAATGTACTTGGAAACGAGATGGACCGTCTTTTGTCCCGATACAAACCACTTAAAAGCCTTCAGAATGCACCAAAAGTAGGTTGTTCTTCCTGCATCCTTATACATTTCTATACCACGAAAGGCAGAGTGTTATTTTATAGTATTACACATTTGAAAGGAAAACGCAGACAATTTGCTCTTCAGGCTTAACTAGGTTTGTGTGGGTGATTTGTGCCATAAGATTTAAATAATTTAACATCAGCATGCTTTTGTCCACACATGTAAACTATTTACCTCTACAGCATTCTGCAATTTAATTATATAAATAAGAATTGCTTGCACTTATATACAGTAGCGCTATTCTGGACACTCCACTCAAAGCGTTTTACAGGTAATGGGGTCTCCCCTCCACCACCACCAGTGTGCAGCCCCCACCTGGATGATGTGACGGCAGCCATAGTGCGCCAGAACGCTCCCCACACATCAGCTCTCAGTGGGGAGGAGAGCAGAGTAATGAAGCCAATTGATAGATGGGGATTATTAGGAGGCCATGATTGATAAGGGCCAATGGGGAAGTTTGGCCAGGATGCCAGGGTTACAACCCTACTCTTTTCGAGAAACGCCCTGGGATTTTTAATGACCACAGAGAGTCAGGACCTCGGTTTTACGTCTCATTCGAAGGACGGCACCTGTTTACAGTATAGTGTCCCCGTCAAATAAAGCAAGCTTAAGCAAGCATCCTAGTATGTAACAGCATGAGAACAGTTACAAGAGGATGCCATTCTGCCCATCTAGCTTGTTACGTTGTTAGGAGACAAGTGCTACTAGGATCTCATCTGGTGATTTTTTAATAGACGCCAGGGCATCGACTTTGACTGCATGGCTTGGCAGCTTGTTCCAGACTCCTGAAAACTTTGGGTCTAGAAATGTCTCCTGTTCTCAGTTTTTAATGTTCTTCCAAAAAATTAAGTATTTAAACCTTAGACCTAATAATAGGATTAATTTGAACTCTCAAATTGTGTTCACTTCCTAAACATCTAGGAAGTTACCTTTGAACTATTGAGTTTTTTTGTAACTTAAAATCTGTTACCTTTGAGTAAAAAAAAAACTTGCAAAGGTTCTTATCAACTGATTTGTTGATGTAATTAAGGATTGTTTTTATGAAAGAGCTCAGCTACAATGAAAACTAGCAGATGTTGGTTATTTTAAAAGGTTTTGGGCTGACGTGAATATTTGCTAGATCTGTCTGAGACTTGGCTCAAGTAATGCATCAATGGGCCGGCAATTTAATTTTTATAGAGAAAAACCAAATTCTTTGGCCAAAACCTGAATGTTTCTGAAAATGAAAGAGGGGAGAAGGAAGGTCAGTTAAACGTTTGAGCCTCTTTTAAACTTAAGGTGCTACAGTATGTGATCATTGAAATACAACTACTGTACATGAGATTTTGTTTTAAACTTTCTTTCATCCACCAGAGGGAGATAGTGTCACACAAAAGTGTTTAAAGAGATTAACAACAAACTATATTCTGTGCTTTTCAGAGAGAAAGTCATCAAAGGCACAAATCCATTTCTTAACAATTTCTTCAAGAAACTGCTTTGCATACTCTGCATAGGGTGAGCTGCTGTACCATATGGGATATCAGTTTGTTACCCACACATGGGATAAACTCCAGAACATACCCAAGAGCCTCCATCTACTTATCTGTGATACTGTAGGTCTGCAGCATTTTTTTCTTGAACACATTTTACTTAATTTCAGAACACTAGACTTACTTGCTAATGACATAACAGACTTCCGGTCTTATGAATATTGCAAGAACCTAATTAAAAGATGATTTAAGAAAAAAAAAACAGATAGCCTTGGCAGGGAAAAATAATTTCATGGTGTCAAAGAATTTGGATGCAGCTTCTCTATATGTATAATATACTTGTATCTCTTTGTCTATGCATATAATGTTAACACGACAAACAAATCTCAGGGAATGTCAATCAGTAGTATTGTACTCTATTTACCAGTAATTAATCTCTGATCTAACAAGGGCACTATAACGATTAGGCTCTTACTCATGGGGCAACTCACCCCCTAAATCCACAACAATTAGGAGTGAACTAACTTCATTAGATACAACATCAAAGGCTGGCAAACTTAATAGATCTAAAAAGACTAATTACAGTCACGCTGTATAATTAAAGACTGGTGCAAGACCTAGGAATTTGAATTAGTATGTTTCTATAACCTCTATGGGCCAAACTGCGGTCTTGTAAGC